CACCAGGCGCAAGATTACCTTGGATAATCTGAAAATGTTATTTAAACATTCAACCTTAAGGCATAAAAATAACTTACACTCGAGATTTGTGAAGCAGCTAATTTGGATGGGTGGATGAAAATTGTCTTGCTTCTGAAGTGTAAAACTATGTCCAATATTTATGTCAACATGATTGACCAGGCCATTTCAAGCAGTTATGCCTTAGAGAGTAAACAATTAAGAACTTATGTGTTTTCGGTAACCTTCTGAGTGTACTCTATCTGTAGATTGCCTTAAATTAATAATTGCTGTCTGTGTTTTTAATATTAATTAAACAACAAAAGGTAATGAGACGATTGAATGACTGTTGTAACTTCAATGTTTAAGCTTTAATTAGTTTTTACAATGATGTTCACAAACAGTATGCATCATTATATTTGATTATATGATTAAGTTTCTGTACCTGAAAACTACTGTTAGATACCTGAATATAACTGTTTATTTTACTAGTATCTTTACTCTAGTACTATATTTTCATTTGTGCTTTTGCTTGTAGATAGATTTTTCTTTATTTATTTTTGACAGTGTGCAAACCATACCAAAAAAAACCTAAAACCCTGATATAAACCAAATCATGAAAAGTCTATAGCATTGCACCCCTATTTAAAACCGCTCTTTTACTCATGTTAGGACTTTAATAGGACTAAGCAATGATGTCAAAATTTTGCAAACTGTAGATTCTCTAATTTTGATCTCCACTGTTATGAATCATTTTAATGAATAAATTTAACAATGTTTACACCTGTTAAAAGAATTTAGACTAGAGTCCTAAATGTTCTCCAACCAAATTGTTTTTTATTTTATTTTAAACAGTAATTCATCTAAGCGAACTTAAACCAGCTTTGTCATCGCAGTAAGTGTGATTTAGTGCTAGTGATCCGTATGTCCAAGTCTCAGCTTGCTGTCTGATCTTATTAGGAGAACTGAAATGAGGTTGGCATCATCACTATGCCCCTCGTTGCTATCTGTTTTATAAGGTCTAGTTTTCTTTTGGAGATCTGCCACGGGTGTTGCAATCAAAATAAGCTAGACACATATTTTCAAATTAATCTTAATTCAGTTTACCGTCAATCAAATGAATATACCTTCTGAAATTACTGTCAAATAGCCCATTTTACCATTATTATTTTTCTGTTTTATTTAGTCTCAAAGCAGTTATGATGCTGAAGACTATGAGGGAGCTCGGAGACTGGGGAGGAAGGCTCTTCACATGGGAATCGCTTCTCTAGTCATCGGCCTTCTCATCATAATGGTCTTCTGTATTGTACACTTCACCACGGTATTGATTTACACAAAGCCTGACTCCTATTTTTGAGTTCACTGTAGAATGAAAATTTTGTCATTATTTACTTTTAAGAATATCTTATAGCCTATTCAGTGTGATGAACTCAAATGAAAATATTACTTTCTAAAAGTATAGAAATGTGGTTCTTATGACATGTGCAATACTTCTCAAGTCTTTTGAAGTATTCATATAGGTAACTTAAAGTTAAATCATTAATTGCTAAAATTGTCTGCTTTATTAAAGAAAGCAGCAATATGCAATTTGTGACATCATTCTTTTAAAACCTTTATAATGGAATATTTGATACTGTTTACAGTTACTTAAACTGATATGATAGTCTGATTACAGTGATTAAAATAGACTGAGCAATGTATTTGCTATAGATATTAAGTAATCATAAAACCAAAGTTTTCTTGTCATGTTTAAATGGATGGGTGGATGGATGGATAGATGGACGGATAGATAGATAGACAGACAGACAGACAGACAGACAGACAGATGATAGATAGATAGATAGATAGATAGATAGATAGATAGATAGATAGATAGATAGATAGATAGATAGATAGATAGATAGATAGATAGATAGATAGATTTACACCAATTATCAATTACATCATATATACATCAATTACATCATATATAATTAAAAAAAATAGCAATTTGTATAAAGTTTTATATAAAAAAACTAGTCTATTGCCATTTATTCATTCATTCATTCATTTTCTTGTCAGCTTAGTCCCTTTAATGATCTGGGGTCGCCACAGCGGAATGAACCGCCAACTTAACCAGCGTGTTTTTACGCAGTAGACACCCTTCCAGCCGCAATCCATCTCTGGAAAACATCCACAAACACTCACTCACACACACTCATACTGCACTACGGACAATTTAGCCTACCCAATTCACCTGTACCGCATGTCTTTGGACTGTAGGGGAAACCGGAGCACCCGGAGGAAACCCACATGAACGCAGAGAGAACATGCAAACTCTACACAGAAAGGCCAACTGAGTCGAGGATCAAACCAGCGACCTTCTTGCTGTGAGGCAACAGCACTACCTACTGCGCCACTGCTTCACCCCCTATTGTCATTTAAATATCATTAATTTAAATAGCTAAAGCCTTCTTTGAGGGATTATTCTCACAATTTATTAAGGCATTGCAGTCAAAATAGGACAAATGAGCTCATTTTTGGGTCTCTGGACCTTTGTCAGTGAGGGATGGGTCTTTCAAACCACCCAAAGCCCCTCTGGCTGCGGGCCTGTAATGTACACATTAAATCTGATAGACAATTTGAGTATAATATGTCATTTTTAAATATTTTAACCCATGGCTCTGACAAAATCTGTTTGCTATGGCTCAGTTGGCCATCTAATGTTTATACCAATGTTTATTCCATAATTCCAACCCCATAAATGTCCCATTACGCACTAAACAGTCACATTTACAGTAGCTTTTTTTGTCCATGGCAGAAACCAACTTTCAACAAAAAAAAAAAAAAAAAAAAAAGCTGCCAAGTGATTTCTGAAGACTTTATCTCTAGAATCCGACTGACATCTTTTAAGAAGCTTTTTTTTAATACTTGAAAAATCATATTCTGTTCCATGAGACAAAATGTGGAGACTGAAAATGATTAAATTATGCAAATAAACTATACATTTTAATTCTCCACTGTAAATGTACTTCTCATCTGCATGCCTTGGTATTTGATTAACACGATTTATATCCTGTGCTCTTATTAAGAAACAACTTTCTTCTTTTATCTCTGTTTACATCAACCAAACAGGATGCAATCTGACTGTGGTGAAGCCAGTTGACAGCAGGAAGCTGCACTGTAAATTTGTGGCGATCAGTTCCAGTGAACGCCAGAGGTCGCTGTGACCTAAACCGTGGCACAATGTGCTTAAAGTTCATCAATCAGTATTTTTCAAATGGAATGTATAAGTGGGTCTATTTTGCTCAAAGCATGGCCAAAAAAGACAAACCTACACTAAAAGTCACTTAATCTTAATGCCACCTCACAGATATACTGGATGAGAGTGGTGTCATTTATTCCTGCAAGCAGAACAATTGCAAAGTCTGTATTTGCTGACTATGTATGACACTTCAAATGCTGTAAATGTGTAGTTTAGAGGTGTACATTGTGCTTGTCTTTAAGCATACTACTAAAATGATGTTGTACTCAAATAGCTAAAATGAATGCTTTTACAGAAAATTGTTATTATGTATGGGTGAATGCAAAATAATAGAAAGTCTGAATGTTGTTATCTGTTTGTTTTTTAAGAGAAAATTGAAATAAATGCTCAATGTATTAAAAAAACTATGCTTAAATGTCTGTATTTGTTTTAATAGATCATAGCAGCATTAGTCACTCCCTCACGGCCTTTACCTCAAATGTATTCCGCAGCGTTCGGAGTATCTTGTACTTTGATATGTAATATTATAGCCAGCTATGGTTAAATATAGATAAATTGGGCTCCACTCTTGGCAATCAGAACAAACAACTAGCTAGCTACACATGCAATGGTACACGGTAGTACTTACTATATGTGTTTTATTGATAAGTTTTTAGTATACTTCAATGTACAGGTGATTATATTAATAGTAATCAGTTTGTCCTGATCATAGGTCTTGCTTGAGTTAATGACAAATGTTTTTTCAAGATCTGCTGGTGGTCCATATCTGTGCCACCCATGAGTGTTTATTAGAGTGTGCTTAAAATTGCGGATACAGTTCCACTTCTCTCTGTACCTCATTGCCAGTCATCTCATGATGCTGCGAAACTGGACAGCCGTGAGAATGTCACAAGACTCTGATGAGCACACATGTGGACTATCAAACACAGCTGGCTCACTCCATCACAGGATACACCACCTGGCATAGGCCCTAAAATTAAATAAAAAAAAAATATTTAATTATATATATTTTTTATTAAATTAAAATGTGGACTCCCAAATACAGCTAAATGAATGAATAGATTAATGAATAAAAATATAATTACAAAAAAGTTAAATAAAATGAATGAATCCAAATGCAGATGGTCACACTTCTATTCAAAATGTTTTTAAATTAAGATTACTACTTGAACGAAAGATTCAATTATTAATAAATGAATAAAACTAATGAACATGCGGACTTAAATAGAGCTAGACACCAAATCAGGGACAAAATAAATTGATTGTTATATGTCAATAAAAATTTAAAAAATGTTATTAAAAAATTATAAAAAATGAGTTTATAGCAAAGCAATTGGTGAAAAAGTATATAAATGATGAAATAAATGGCTCACCCACCACTTGCAAGGTAAAGTCCAAAATAAATAAATAAATAATAAATTAACTAACATAAAGAATATAAATTAGATTAATTACATAAAGTTTTAAAGTTAAACATTCTCTTTATGCTTTTAATTGTATTTAATTTCATTATTTTAAATATGAAACTGAAGCTAAATAAGGCTTTCTTTTAATGATTTTAGGCTCTATTCAAAACAACACATAGATTAAGGATAAGTAGCAGATTTCAACATTAACTTGCAGCAGACAAATATGTGAATACTGTATAAAAGTTTGAGGTCCTCTGAGTAAAAAAAAAGCCAAGTAACAGAAGTTGCAACAACTTGTTACAACACTCCTCGTCTCCCACTGTTTTAACTTCATACTGAGCTTGATGGTTATTTCCCTTGTCCAAAGCAGCAGGCGGAAGAGGTGTGCTTAACATTTAACCTTTTTGTGAGGCAATGTGAAAATGGCGTTATGAACGGAAACATAATCGTAGGCTACGGGCAAATAAAGTTTTCAGAGGTAAGATATTTAATCATAAATGAAAATTCCAAAGTCCGACATAAAGCGCAGGAAAACTGCGGTCTTTTGCGTGTAGGCGAGCCCTACACGTAAGAACAGAAACAACGAAGTCAAAAGACACAACATCCCAACGTTAAAGCCTAACGTTACGTCCTTGATAATGATACGTTGCTGTGGAATTGTCTTTGCATTCATAACCTAAAAAAAGGTGTACAAAAGAGAGCGCCGTTTGGTTATTAATGTTTGTTTATGCGATTAGCAAAACAATTGTAAACAGCGGTCAACATTTAACTTACTGTTTTTAATGCGTACGTCGCATACTTTGTAAAACCGTGCGAATTCTAACCACGATTGTTTTATTATTGCAGTCTTCTAAGTAACTATTAACATGTTCATGTATTTAATATAAACAATTTTTCGGATGCAGTGTAACGTTAGCTTAACGTTACCTTGTTCTTTGATTCCTCTAACGTCGATTAATTGAGAAGGAACCTAGTTTTTCATGCTTAAAAAAACTCGAAACTTTACTCCGTAAATTTAATAAACAACGACAGTACTTTTCATGTCGTGTACTTGGGTAACAGTTAATTACCAGTCACAAAATATGCGAAACGTTGTTATGGTTACCAGGGGTACTTAATTATGCTGTTCTCACGTCTCTTATTTAACGTTAAGTTAGATAACGTTAAATAATGGATAAAAGTACTATTCTAATACCAAATTTTCTTTGAAAACGTACATTAAGGAAAAATGGCAAATGGAATGAATGTAGACCAGATTGTAACTTACACAAGATGTAGAGTTGGCCACTCCAGATTTCCACGGTCAATAAATATGAGTGGGTAAGAGAAACCCATGTGTGATTGTGACTTATATTTTGACAGTAAAACAGAATATAGCATAAATGAGAATATAGCCTATATAGAATATATTTTAAACAATATTAGAGAACATTTTTATTCACAAAACATTTCAAAGGAAATGTTTAAAAAAGTGCCTCCTGGGAGAATTTTTAGAATATTTATACCTGACCAAATTGAAAGATCTTATTAGACCGTTTATCAGTGTTGTTGTCATCTGTATGCTTTTTATGCAATACTTTAAGAAACTGTTATGTTAGTAAATTGTGTATCAAATGTTTATTGGCAATATTACCATGAAAAGTCAATGCTGCGGAAATAGCGTTAAAACGTAAATAAATCAATGCCTTAGGATGAATAAAAAAAATAAACAAAAAAAAAATGCTGGAACTTATTAGTAAATAGTCATTTTTGAGCTTACAGTCCCTTTAAATCTGTTTAAAAACTACTTTATAAATGAATATACATTATACATGTAATGAATAAGATAAAATATTTTTTAAAAGCTCTTGTCCAGATCTGGAATTATCATTAACATGCATATAAATAAGGCACAGGATGGGCAACACCAGCAGTGAAAGAAGCGGAGGGGAGAAGACTCACCGGCGGGAGAGCCGTAGTGGAAAAGATGGAACTCGACCCAAAATCCTGATGGACAGTGCAGAGGATGGAGACCTCTTCCAGTCAGATGATGCCAAGGTGATGTGTTTACTGTGAAATATTAGCAATATGTTCCCACAACTTATTTATTACAGCAATAGCTACAATTACTCTAGACACCTCATCCATCTTTCTTTCTGTCATTCTAGGAGTTTCTAGCCTGGCGACAAGATCAGGAGTCGGATAGCAAAACCCCGCTGGAGGAAAGGCCCACTGTGTTCCGATGGAAAGGTCCAGGGAAAGAGATCTACTTGTCTGGCTCCTTCAACAACTGGGCCACCAAAATCCCCTTGAATAAGAGGTGAGTGCTGACAAGTCATTAAATCATTATCTCAACATATTAGACTGTGTTTACACAACAAACATAAGAAGAGGTTGTTATCACCCTGAAAATCATAGAGTTCTGCAAGTAAGCACATCTGGGAGCTTCAAAATAAAAGTAAAGAAACTACTGTGAAAATGGGATTTAAAGTGTAACTTTAAAAAATATGGTTTTAAAGTACATTAAGCTTCCTTGGTCACCGTAAAATGCAAAGTAAAAATGACAAAAAATTACTCTGCTGCATAAGTAAAACCAGTTTTACCAGTGCAATGATGAATGCTGTCATTCAAAATTTTGGGGTCAGTAAGGTTTCTTTTCTTGTTTAAGAAATTAAATAATTTTATTCTTCAAGGAACTATAAATTGCTAATTATGGTGGTATTTAACATTTAAAAATTGAACTAAACATTCATTTATTCATTATTGTACATCATTTGCATCACATCACAACTTTTAAGGAGGAATAAAAACGCTTCCAGTGACAGAAAACTGAAATTTAAAGAGATTGTTCATCCAAAATCTTCAGCGTTTATTCAAAGACGATTGTTTTTAAACTTTTAGGATTTTTTTTTCTTCTGTTGTACTTCGAAGATGTATTGAAGATTGTTGGAAACCAGCAGCCATTTACATTAAGAAATGGAACAAAAACTACAATGGAAGTCAATAGTTGTTTCTTTTCAAAATTTTCAAAATATATTTTGTGTTCAGGAGAATAAAGAAACAAGATTTGAACAAGTGAAGGGTTATTATTAATTATTAATATTATTTTATAATGATAGAATATTATTATTGGGTTTACTATGCCTTTAAGCCATCACTTTTTTGTGCTTTTTCATGTTCAACATTAGGGTTCAGTGTACATTTACAAGAAACTTAAAAAACATGGTCGTAATGTGCTCTATTTTGACAATCTTGGCACAAAGTTAAAAGCGCAGGGCGCAAAAGCATTAAGGGTGTGTCAGAATCCACTTTTGCTATTTTAAAGATGGAAAAATCTGCTTTGCGCAGCAGTGCATAGTCTAACAGGGTTGAGCTTATTCTCTTAATGATTTATAGGTGTGTTTTGAGAATACACCAATCAGAGTCTCATCTCCCATTCTCTTTAAGAGTCAGTTGCGTTGCGTTGCGCCATGGCACATTTGCTATTTACTTGGCAGAATTTGTAAGTGGAAAAACTAAGCGCTTCATTAGCGGAAAAAACAGTTAAAGAGACCATCTGGAGCGTGAGAATGAGCCTCCTCATTCTTTACTTTCACTCTCTTTTTTGGATAAGGAAACACACAGACATCCATTAGCATAAAAAATGTTGTTTGTTAAACACAAAAATTTGTTTCAAAATATTTCTAAGTTCAATTCTAATTTCCAGCAAATGAATAAATGAACAATAATAACGAACTGTGGTCAAGGTGAGTTATGTCCAAATACACATGCTATGCCCCATATGGTCCAAAACCTGACAGGTGGCAAATCTAAGCTTGCTTTAATAAAATAAATATAAATATGCATATAATAAATAATACTGCTAATAATAATAACATTATAAAAAAGTAAATTGTCATGAATAAACTGAAAAAAAAACTGAGATGAAGAGGGCATTGAAGCAGGGGTTTTTATATATTTTTAGAAAATAATAATTTTTGTAATATTTTAATCCTTTCATTCTTTTTTCAGTTGTAAAGATGTGTATTGCTGTACATCCTTTGTGTATTAAGCAATGTTTAAACGAGGCGCACAACTGACGTGCTCTGCGCTAGACTTTAGACCTGCTCTCTGCTGGTACAGTAGAACAGTCCATTTTCGTTCCTCAAAATAGCAACGTGCCAGCAATGCGCCTTACAACACCTCTTTTTTAGACCAGAACACCTATGGGCGCACATATGAGCGCAAATGAATTTGCTATTTAAACAGCATGGCGCAAAACATCAAAATGACCCTTGCGTCAAGCTGAAACTAGCAAACAACAATTGCGTGCCCGTTAACTGTGATCTCATGCTGTTAACAAAACTGGGAAAATAGCAGAGCCTTCTGCTTCCTTTCCCTCATTGTTTTTGTAATGTTCTTCTTTAACAGTCATAATAATTTCGTGGCCATAATTGACCTGCCAGAAGGAGAGCATCAGTATAAGTTCTATGTGGACGGACACTGGACTTTAGACCCTAAAGAGGTAAGAGAAAGTCTCACATAACTTTTGGTTTATGATAATTCTCATATACAACCTGTTGAAACATGTTTGCTTAAATTAAATTAAAATTCTATTGTTGTTTTTTTTCCCTAGCCTGTTGTGACCAATAAGTCAGGAGTGGTGAATAATGTAATTAAAGTGAGGAAAACAGACTTTGAGGTTTTTGATGCACTGAAGACAGACTCTGAGAAATGTGCTGACATGTCAGGTAAATATATAGCATTTTAAAACTCTTTTGCATTTTTTAGATGAAATATCCTACAGTTGATTTTAAAGTCCAAGTGAAATCAAAATTTACAATGGTTGTTTTCTTAGCACACATTATAAGTCTTTAGGTGAACGATTCATCTGTTCAAGTTAATGTAAGGTTACTTATAAAGTTACTTTAAGGTTAATTATAAAGGTGCTTCTCTGTTGATGTCAGTTTGATGGCTTCAGCAACAGTATTCTTAACCACTCCGCTCTCATGGTTAGTTTGCTACAAGGTAATGATGAACAAAAAAAAGCTCCACTCCCTGCTCAATATTCTATTTCAGTTTGAAGTACATAAACAAACTGAAATAAAGTCAATTAAAGTGAAACAGATGGTAACTATGATGGTCAGATGGTCTAATGCTGTGTTCACATCAGACGTGGAACGCGCGGATAAATTGCGCTATTCGCGCGTAAATAGTCGCGTAAACATTTGAGGTTACTCGCTTCATTCGCGCGTCAAATTCACTTCAGAACAGACGCGGATTCGCGTGATGGGCAGGGCTTCTGTCTGCCCCGTGACTCTAGCTTCATAGCTAAAGGGCTAACATGGATTTTATGAAGAAAATAACAGTGTTTATGTGCTTTATGAAGGATGATAAACAGCGTCGATATGTTTAGAGCCGTGTCTGAGCCCACTACATCCTTTCGGAGGTGCATCCAGCTCTTTAAGCTCATAGACTCCTCCAGAAACTTAACCTGACTGATGGAGGTTTTCAGCGGTGCTTCTGACTGAGCCCAGCCCAGTATGATGAACTTCTTGTCAGTGTCTGCTGGGGGATTTTCCCTTGGACACCGACAACAGGCAATACGTCACAATCACGCCCCCACAAGATCAAGCTCCTGATTGGTTAGCGCTCAATTCGCACCGCGCAATTCTCGTCATTCGCGCGTATCGCGCCGCAGGATGTCTATTCACGTGTTTGCATTGACTTAACATGTAAATCACTCGCGCGTGTCGCGTCTGGTGTGAACGCAGAATAACAGATGGTAGCCCTTACGCTCGATGACACCGGAGACCAGACGTCCACCGCGGCATCGGAGGGTGGGCTTTCATTGTTCAATGATGATCCAGACCCGCTCGCCCCCTCCGGGCAGGTGAGCGCTGTCAAAACGGATCCTGAAACGGACATGTTAGCCATACTTTCCCGGGCTGCTTCGGCCTTGGGTTGGAGATGGTTTATGCCGCAGCTCCGCGGCCGGACTGACTAGAGGGGCGTCCCCTTCTTCCCGGAGGTGCACAGTATGGTCACGCGGACTTGAAGGCCACTTTTTTCTGCTCGTGCTGCGTGTCCCTCTACCCTCACCACTCTTGACGGTGGAACGGCCGGGGGGTGTGTGGCGATTCCTCAGGTTGAGTGCGCGATGGCGGTCAATCCGCGCGGCGCCTCTTCTTGGCGGCGTCCGCCTCGTCTCCCATCTAAAGCCTGTAAGTTATCTGCCTCCCTCGGAGCTAGAGCTTACAAGGCTGCGGGCCAGGCTGCTTCTCCCTTGCATGCGATAGCCACCTACCAGCGCTGCCAAGCGCAGGCACTGGCTGAGCTGACTACTAAGTCCGCTGCGTGTGTGTTGGGGAGGACGATGTTCACACTAGTGATCCAGTAGTGCCACCTCTGTCTGATATGCGCGAAGTCGACAAAGTCCGCTTTCTTGACTTCCCCATATCCCAAGCTGGCATGTTCGGCGACACCATCTGTGAATTCACCCAGGAATTCGAGGCGGTGAGAGAGCAGTCTGATGGGTGGGGTCACCTATCGGCAGGTCCGTAAGCCCGCTCCGCCCGCCGTACCATCCATATCTGCTCCTCGCTGAAGGCGCCCGCCTACGAGAGCTGCACCGCACATGCCTCTGGCGAAGCGAGCGCGTTGAGCACCTCGCAGGGTGCGGAGCCAGAGCGAATCGCTCTCCTCCAGCTTCACGTTCCCCTGGATCAGCACACCTGCTCCGCACTGCCCCAACACTGGTACGTCAGTGGTTGTAGCGATGACGCCATTAGCGAGGGCTCTGCCTGCCTGGTTAGCGCGGGCCAGCCTCTCGCGGTGGCTCATCACCACAATCAGACTCGGCTATGCGATTCAGTTCGCGAAACGGCCCCCCAAGTTCAGAGGCGTGTATTTTACCAGGGTCAACCCCCCGTCCGCCCCTGTTTTGCGAGAGGAGATTGCTGCCCTCCTGGTGAAGGGTGCAATCGAGCCGGTCCCTCCAGCCGAGATGGAGAGCGGTTTTTACAGCCCATACTTCATCGTACCCAAAAAGAGTGGTGGGTCACGGCCAATCCTAAATCTGTGCATTTTGAACCGCTGTCTACACAAGCTGCCGTTCAGAATGCTTACGCAGAAGCGCATCCTCCGATGCATTCGTCCTCAGGATTGGTTTGTAGCCATAAACCTGAAGAACACGTATTTTCATGTCTCCGTTCTTCCATGCCACTGCCAGTTTCTGCGGTTTGTGTTCGAAGGTCGAGCGTTGCAATACAAGGTCCTCCCTTTCGGGCTCTCTCTGTCTCCGCGAGTCTTCACCAAACTCGCGGAGGGTGCCTTAGCGTCCCTTCGGCTCGCTGGCATGCGCATACTCAATTATCTCGACGACTGGCTGATTTTAGCCCACTCGCAGGAGCAATTGACTATGCACAGAGACAAGGTGCTTCGGCGCCTTCGCCTGTTGAAGTTACAGGTCAACCGAGAAAAGAGCAGACACGCCCCGGTGGAGAGGATCTCTTTTCTTGGGATGGAGCTGGACTCGGTCACCATGGTAGCGCGCCTCTCCGGAGAGCGCGCTCGCCTGTTGCTGAACTGTCTGAGGGAGCTCAACAGCAAAATAGTGGTCCCACAGAAATACTTTCAGAGGCTCCTGGGGCATATGACATCCGCTGCGGCTGTCTCGCCGCTCGGATTGCTCCATATGAGATCACTTCAGCACTAGCTTCTAGATCGAGTCCCAAGACGCGCATGGCATGCGGGCACACACCGAGTCTTTGTTACTGCGCTGTGTCGCCACACCCTCAACCCTTGGAACGACCCCTCATTCCTGCAGGCCGGTGTGCCTCTGGGACAAGCCGCGATCTCTGGAACCTCCACGTGTGGTCCCTAGACGCGAGGAAGACTTAGGTAGCCTACCATCTGTGGTGGTTGATACCATCACTCAGGCTAGAGCCCCCTCCACGAGGCGCGCCTACGCCCTGAAGTGGAGTCTATTCACTGAATGGTGTGTCTCTCGCAGAGATGACCCCCGAACCTGCCAGATCAGTGTTGTGCTCTCTTTCCTTCAAGAGAAGCTGGAGAGCAGGCTGTCGCCCTCCACTCTCAAGGTTTACGTGGCTGCCATCTCCGCTTATCATGACGCGGTAGCTGGCAGCACCGTGGGAAAGCACAACCTCATCATCCCCATCTCATGCCCTCTTGGGATCTCGCCCTCGTTCTCACGAGCTTGCGTACAGATCCCTTTGAGCCACTCGAATCAGTATCCTTAAGATTTCTGTCCCTTAAGACAGCTCTGCTGGTCGCGTTGGCCTCCATTAAGAGGGTCGGGGACCTGGAGGCATTTTCGGTCATTGACTCGTGCCTGAAATTCGTGCCGGATTTTTCTCACGTTATCCTGAGCCCCTGCCGGGTTTTGTGCCCAAGGTTCCTACCACTCCCCTTAGAGACCAGGTAGTAACCCTGCAAGCGCTGCCCCCGGAGGAAGCAGATCCAGCCCTTTCCTTACTCTGTCCAGTTCGCGCCCTGCGCATCTATAGCTGCTTTTCCACTATCGTGCCAAACCGTTCTAAGAACACTTCGGTACGGTTACGGTTGTTTCTCCACTGAGCCTGGAACGGCGCGGCACGATTACAAACCGTTCTCGGCCCGGAATTTTCGGCACGGTTAGACAACCGTGCTGAACTGTGCTGACAGATTCTGTGTGTTGACGTCGCGACTCGGTTGCTAAGCTACCACAGCTGGCTCAGCAGAAGCGCGCTAGTCATCAGACATCCTCTATAAACTACAGTACATTTAATATAAAATAATGATCCAGGTCTAAACGATACAGTTTGAAAAGGGTTTTAAAACCATAGAGCAGTCTCTGGCAGAAAAGTGAATAACTCATCACATTCTTACGAAGATATTTTATTCATTAAAGTTATTATTTTATTGACTTGAATACAGACCTACTTCGCCTGCCTGAATGCGAGTTTATTGCACGCAGCGCTGTATTTCACAGCACAAAACTCGCTCTGATCCGGGATAGACATGCCAGCGACTTGCGCTGCTGACTTTTTTTTCCTGCTGCGCATCGAATAAAGCGAATAAAGTCACGCTTGGCCTCGTCAATGTCCAAATTCCACAACAACATTACTATATCCATGGAACACGAACTTGCAGACTCTTTTAACAACGAGGAAATAATTGCACTTTTTAATTCAAAGCCAGGACAGCTTGTTAATACCGGCGAGACCACCTGAGAGACGGCGTGTTGTAATGTCGGCCGTCCAAAAGACTTTGCTTGAAAGCTTTACGGAGCGGCACTGTAACTGTCCAAGGTACTGTTGTATGATTTATATTATTGCATATGCACTAATAAACAAGTCAAAAGAATGAATGAATTAAATAAATATGGATTCTTAAATGTCAGTATTGCTTTTACTCAAAAATATCAATACGTTTTGACAAATGTTTTTAAAAAATAAAATGAGCAATTTTCATAATTTCAGCTATAGGCAATTATATGATTCAGTTATACATAAGTTATATGACATTTATGAGGCATGTAACATGTTTCTGTGTTTTTGTTTTTTTGTTCTTGGTGATCTTTAATATAGCTACGCAAATATTTTCTAAAACGTCTAGCAATAATTCGCCTACAGCTTGTTAGTTAATTATGAACACAAAAAATAATTATAATAATAAAAATAAAATGATAAAAATAAAAAGATAATAGAGCAGCATTTTGCTAAATATAATAGTGCTTTATATGCTT